CTGTGAACAGAGCATTTTGTACAAATATCGCTTTTGGTTCCTTCAAGGATTTCCTTTTAATAAACCCAACCATAAGTCAGAAAAAAAATTTAAACATACATCTAGAAAGAGCATGAAATGCTGATTCTAGTAGAGTACTTTTGATTCTCTCGAATCAGTTATAAATGATTGAAAATTGATTAAACATTTAGTGCAAACATTTTGGCAACAAGTGTAAAAAAATCATCATTTTATAAAACGCCACTGAAACTAGTTTTTTCCAGGTAGATATAATAAAGTTTTGCTTTTGTACTTACTGTGTTCCACTTTATTTTTCGAACCTTGATAACTGATTTGATCAACGGTAGTTTTTAAGTGCAAATGTCTAACCTTTCCATTATAGTTTTAAAAGAAAAGAATAAAGCGCATTAGTTTATTGTTCGATTAATATTGACGATTTTTCCTCAATTCGTCATTAATCACTTAAGAGGATAAGAAGTTTAAAAAGCTGAGAGCTACATTCTTATTGCAAAATTCAAGTCATCTATATAGAATGTTTTGATAATACTTATTAAATATAGTATCGCATCTTACAGTAAAGTGTATAAACAGCAAGTTTTTTCTATACTACAAACGCGTTTAAATTCCAGTGCCTTGTTTACAACGATCCAGAACAATGATCACTGCATGCTCTCTCTACTACTACAAAAAGATTATAATATTTTTCTTTGTTAGTAAAGAATTTCGTTGACAAGTAAATAGATGTCTTAACAATAGAAAATACTTTAATTCTTTGTTTTAATCTTTTCTAGTCTGTTTTCCTCTTACGAATAACTCGTCCATGCGAGAAGAAAGCGTGACAGTATATGAAATAATTTCCTTTTTCTAATCTAGGTCTATCGTCTTCTTTAGATACTATAAATAGTTCGTACATTCAACAGATTCTTCATCCGTTTCAAACATTTACAAAGCTTATTACTGTTTATTCACTTTAAATCAGTTTTTATTATATACATTATTCGGTAAGTTAATTGTTTTAGATTTTACACTTGAGCATACATAGACTGTCAAAAAAGAACGAGAATCAATGACAGTCAAACCTTTTTTTGGTACTTATATGTAGAATCATTAGGTCCAACAATATTAAAGTAATCATTAGTACATTTTTACGTGTTTAGACTCAACATTTTTCACATTATTTCATTATGTTTGCCAAATTATTATTAATCGTTTTGCTGATCGCAGCTTTACTTGCTACTGTTGCTAAAGCACAATGGGGATGTAAGCTCTCTTGATTCTTTCACAAAGATAACAAATGATCTGTTATGCATTCTTATTTAATAGTTGGATATCCATATGGTGGTATTGGTTACGGTCTTTATGGCGGTTACGGTCTTTATGGTGGTTACGGTGTACTCGGTTGGGGACGATAAATCAAATTTAGAAATGTAAGTAGTTTAGCAGAAAAACACAAATCGTTTCTGCTAGCTAGATATTATGAGATAGAAATAAAGTTAAGAAAATTGAAGCTATTTCCTAGAACTACTTTCGTAAGATTGTTAGTGTCTGATGTAAAAAAATATTCATACATGTCTTTTATTCTAGATTTAACCGATGACTGATTGAATAACATCTGGAATGTACAATATTGGATTATATCTTGATACACATATTGCATAGAGAATATGTAAATATTAATGTTTGAGATGAATTTTGGCGCCAAAGTTATTTTTACGGCCCATCTGCGTTTAATTTTTGTTCAAATATTTTTGTTTTTATTTTAAACCGTGTTTTCTATTTTTAATTGTTTAATTCAAAAAATCAAATTTAAAAAAAATATATATCATATAATCAACTACGAAATAATTCTTATTTTTGACAATGAATTCAAACAAGACTAGAAACGAGAGAAAGCAAAGTAACAATTGAGCCTTGAATCAAGAAGAGTTCTTTTAGTATGGAAAGCAAGAATTTAGCAACAAAAAGTGAAAAGAAAAAGTTCGAACAAATTTGAAACTTTTCAAATATATTTCTAGGACGGCTTTTATACATCAGAAAAAACACTTCAAAAATATTTAAATAATTGTAATGAAAACATATTATTAAATTACGGATGATACAATAAAATGTTTTAGGTCACTCGAAATATCTTAAAACTTGTAAAGTTTTAAGTTTAAACTAGTAAAGTTTTAAGTTTAAACTAGTAAAAGCTGCAGACTTTGTTCACATATAAAATAGTACAAAATTCATTGGTTTTGTAGTGGAAAATATTAGATCAATAATTACGAACAAAAAATGATTTTATTTTGGTGAAAAATGCGTAAAAAAGTTGTAAATGAGCTTTTGTCTAGACTGAAACAGGGGTAAATTTTGCGCGATGCAGACGTTTTCTCGCTATTCATTCTATCCTGTGTCTATTACAAAAAGAGTTTTTGAGCGAGACATGAAACATGAACCCTAAGATAACAGTGTTTATCTACAGAAGGACGTTAGGATTCTAAGTAGATTTCTGGAAAAATTGTCACCAGGAAAAAAATGAAAAAACTAATAAAACTCGATGAACATTGCTATATCTTTCCAGCTTTAAGATCATACAATAGTACGTGGAGTTGCATGCAAACATCTTACATCCTTGTTCGTCTGTATCGCTATCTCTACAATGATTAAACTTGATCGAATAAGAGCCTTCAAACTTTGTGTTTGTTCCTCAGTGTGCGTTCGGTAACACTACAGCAAGCAGAAAAAAATAATAGAGAAAAATGAAAGCAGCACGATAAATCATATAATAATTCAAGAAAAAAACACCGATTAACGAATACCAGTCGAAGTTAATTACATTCCTCATAGCTACTGAATATTTTCTCCTAGACTTTAAGACATTCAGCGAACGAATTTAGCAGATTTAATTTTATTAAACGGAAAATAAAAATTTCAGAAAATGCATTTTTTTTTTCTATGAATTTTTCTAAACATTTTGGAAATAAAACAGATAGTTGTTATGACACTTGTAGACTAGAGATTATACAAAAAACAAAATCATTTTTGAGTGCAATTGTATTATTTAAAATACAAAAACTCATAATATTCGACTCATAATATTAGTTAAAACGAATAGATGACAGCCTTTCACAACAGCAAAAGCAACGAAATAATCATCTAGCGAAATTTCAGATACAAATAAAAAACAAAGTAACTTAACAAATAAACTGCATAATTGACTTTTATTTGATACACTAACATACTGAGCAATTTACGTTTCTTTTGACGTTGTCAGCATTTTGTACTTGTTGACGAAATAGGACAAATAAATTTTCCTGGGAAAGTCCACAAGTACTATCATCACTGGAGTACAAACCCAAATATATTCACTAGGGTATGTCTAGTAGCAAATAAAATCACGTCACTTCCTAACAGAGATCAGTCAACTCAAAACTAACGAAAATCGATTGTATCACACACTCTGATCACTTCGATTACACAAAAGTTAGCATGTTTGATAAGTGAGAGTATGAAACAGCTTGTATTTTATAAGATCAATGATTAGTGTTTGACCAACGACAACATATGTTTCAACATGAAATCGATGTGTCTTCTGAATAATAATAATAAATTATTAAGTATATAACACCTTATCCTCACAGCGATGACATGCGACAGTTCATTTTCGGAAATCTGTATGTGAACAACACTGCAAGAAATTGTCAAGTAGATACAAAAAAAGAAAGGAGAAAAAAGTCTAATACCGATTATAGTCAATGAACATTTTATATGAATAATTGCCGCGCAGTCAAACGATGATCTATTACAATTAATCAATAAACCAATTAATCACTGACAGTGATAGGTCATAAGAACATATTCATATAGACATATTTCAAAAAATAATAATAATTGCATATAACATGTTAAAAAAAAAGAGAAATCAGTGTCATTTTACCTTTTCTTATTTGTTAGAAATCGCAAATTCAGAATAGATCTATCGTACAAAATTCTAATAAGGTAAGCACTAGTCTTTGCCATTTATGAAGTTTAGTAGTTCACTTTTGCTTTTCGACATTGATCAGCATATTTGATGATTGGTTTATACTTACTTTGTATGATCTCCATGCATGTTTTACGCACACGGTATCAGTTTTAGAGACGTTAGATGACAAGTAGAGCCCTGCAGGTTACGACTTTTTGACAACCTATAACCTAATCAGGGCCACAAATAGGAGTAGAACATTAGGGGCGTGTAAAAAAATAAAATTTTTCTTGGAGGAAGTGTGAAATTGATAAAAAAAGTTTTTGTGCGAGGAATAATGGATAAAATAACAACAGCTTTTTCAATTATTCAGGGAAACACCCTCCCGTTATTTGCGCCTAAATTTAATCTAACCTATTAATGTTTTCTTAACTCAACCTAGGTTAACCTAATATAATCTATGCAATTTTTTTCCGAAACTTGGTTTCTGAAGCCTAAACTCCAGCTTTGTTCCAGATCATTATTCTTATCTAAACAGCATCTGATAGAAAAGCGTTACAAAATAAATCGCATTTTAATTGAATAAAGAAATGAATCAATTGAGTCTTTAATGTAACGTTTGGAAAATAGCTTTCTGAGTGGAGGAATCCTTTTTTTAGATAGTAGACCAGAATTTCACTTTAGGCTCTCGACGCTACGGTTCTGTTATTGATTGTGTATTCGTTATCTATTTTTAGTAAACGTAAGTTTTTTCTCTGAACTTTTTCATTGTGCCGTTTTTCAGTTTAAAAACAGTTCGGTTTAAACTCATCGGTCTGAACTTTATTGATTGAGCGAGAAAGTTCTACTTAAACGGTTTCAGAATTCCATCCGTTCGACTAATACAAGTAAATGTTGGTGGGATTAGTGTGATAAGCGAAAGTGTGAGAAAGTCTCAGTTCGTGGCAAGAAAGAGATACCTGATATCGTTCATGACAGTTATTTGACCCAATAAGCCTACGCTTTATTACTCAAAGTATTAGCAATTTTAATGTGGTCATTCAAAATCGTTTTTTTTCGTTTGAATTATAAATAGATTATCAATACCGTAACATACAATCGAAACTATAAAAAATTTCATAATCTACACCTAGTCTAACCTATAAAAATCGTAAGCTAAACCTGCAGGGTTCTAGTGACAAACATAGAATTGTCCTTAGAAACAAGGCACCTGACTAACAGCATTCATTCGATGTCTAGTTCAATAAACAGATCACATTTTACTTAACTTTCTACAGTCTAATTGTTCTTCTGAGAAAAATCATTGGTTATCGGATTATTTAAACGATCTCTCAGCAGTCTCATTTAGCTAATTTTACCCAAAAAGAAACAACGAACTATCAGGCACTATATATTGATTAATAATACCTATTTATTTATTTATTTAGTTATTTTTGATAATTATGAATTTTGATAATCGAAATCATGATTCTGGCTATTTCAGTCCAAGTCCAGACTCTGAATTTTCATCAACAAAAATACCAATCAAACAAATGAAACGAAATTTAAATAAGTCAAAGAATTATGATAATAGACAAAATGATGGGGAAGACGAGATGATTAATGAAAAAGAAAAGCCAAATGAATCATATGTGGCACTCATTGCGCGTGCTATATTAGCTAGCCCTGAAAGACGTTTATTATTAAACGATATTTATGACTGGATAATAGAACAATATCCATATTATGGAAAATTGACAGGCAAAGCCTGGAGAAATTCAGTGAGTCAGATTATATTCTTCTGCAGAATCCTTTATCTAAAATTTAATTTTTTCTATTTTTAGATCAGACATAATCTGAGTCTCAATGAATGTTTTGTACGATTGAATAAAGCAGAAAATGGTCGAGGTTGTTATTGGGGTGAGTAAACTGGAGAAAAAAAAAAAAGAGAAAAATTATAGAAATTCAGTGATATTTTGTTTCAGGTATACATCCAGCTAATGTTGACACATTTGAGCATGGTGACTTTCGTCGACGTCAAGCCCGATTACGTGCAAAACGTTCTGTTGTTGATCTAACAAAATATCCAAATGAAACATCATTTATGTTACAACAACAACAACAACAACAACAAGAACACTATTTAACACCAACGATAAACTTTTTAAATTCATCATCATCATATCTAAACTACAATACAATCTATAGTCCAAGTTCACCATTGACAACCAATGAAATAGATAGAACATTACCCTATCAACAAGATTCATCATTTTTAAGTAACCCGTTTACAAGTACATCATATTCATTTTTGTAATCATTTCTAAACTTCTGATATTCAACTTTTGTTTACAAAATGTATGTAAAGCAAATCACTTGAGGAAAAACTACACTACCTTCTTTATTCTTTTTTTGTATTTAAATTAATGAAAAAGTGAGTTTCTATTAATTTATGATTTATAATGGATTTGATCTTGGATATTGTATATTGGGGATTCAATTTTATTCATTTGTCTTTACCGTGGGAATGATCTTTTTGGCTTTTGAAAGTAAAACTCTTCACTCTGCTCATGCAAAAATATTTGCATGAAATTTGAAATTTTCAAACAGATAAAGGAAACATATTCACCACGAAAATCTTTTTTTTCCAAAAAATATATTCTCCATTTTGATCAACTCTCTGGCACAAGACATTTTTTCTCTTAATCTTAGTCACCCAACCACGACTGGTACATTAAGGTTTTACAGAAAAATTTATTGAGTAAAATAAGTTGTTGTTCATAAAAAGTAGTGAACTAACGACAAAAAAAACTGACCTTGATAAACATTCTCGTTGTGCAAAAATTAATTAACAATAAAAGAAAAGAAGATCTATAAGTAATGTGAGACTGAAATGAGTAAAAATATACACATGGCATAAAAAAGCCGTGACACAAAATTAAATATACAGAAACAAAAAAACTTAATACAGTAGAAAATAATTGATTTTATTCATTCTCTTTTGTTGAGACTAAAAAACTATAATTAGAGTTTGGTTGAATATTAATATGTACGTATTCTGCTTCAAACATTTCATCTATAAGGAGGCGGCTGGTTAGGGTAACCATCTTGCGAATAATAAACAGGTTGCTGTGGTGGATATCCGCCAGGCTGAGGATAATACCCACCTGGTTGTTGCGGCTGATAATATGGTTGAGGTACAGGTTGCCCTGGGTAAAACTGTTGTGGTTGACCGTAAGCGGGACCATAACCGGGTGGGACTTGTTGAGTTGGCTGCTGATAATAACTGCGAAAAATAAAATAAATGAAAGATCTAGGTAAATTATTTAAATAACAAAGTAAAATACTTACACATTTGTTTGTCCAGCTGGAGGTCGATTTTCATTGCCCATCATATCCTTACAACATTTGCCTAAACGGAAAAGTTATGAAATGTTCTTAGCCTTAAAAGTAAAACTCGTATACCCACAAAATATGAGTCATCAAAGGTCAGAGATGCAAAGTATATCGTAAGAATGGAGATACCTTAGTTTCTCACTCTTGTATAATAATAATGACTCAAATCAATAAGCAATAAAAAGAATAACATTTTCTATGCTATCAAGTGAAGCCACTGTTCTGTCTACGTTAATCTATTAAGCATACTTACAGCAGCAGAGAGCGGCGAGTGGAATACACAAGCAGCATAATAGATCATCACAGTCGTCCTAAAAGTAGATAGCAGTACAAAATTGACCAAAAAGGACCAGAAAACTAACAAACTACTTACCAAGCACATTTTTAGTTCTTGACTTCACGAAAATTTTATTCAATACTTTTCAGTTTGGCTACTAGTCTAGAGAAATGAATTAAACCAACATTCTTGAGTGATTTTTCTTCTTTGATGAATAAGTATGTTACTATAAGTGGAAGCTGAATAAAATTAATATGATTAACTACTGAACAGTAAAATGATTCAAGATCTAGCAACCCATGCCAGTTCCAAGTATGATGGTGGATTAACTTTGAGGAAATATACTAAACTGACCAATCAGAAATAAACAAAGTTTTTTTGTTTCTCATGTAGGTATGCACTAGTGTCAGCATATTGATCACACCGGAACTGGTCCAACTGGTTTTACACTGTTACACTGTTCACACGATTTTCTGATCACGAACTGTAATAAAACGACATATTTTACTACAGATCGAAAAGGAAGAGCGAAGCGAAAAACTAGCTATGATACCGATATCTAAAAAAGCCTTTTCTATAGATATGAATAATGAAGATTCTTATTTTTTACCACACTTCTTTTCGTGAAAATAATTCATTAATTGAACTGCGATAAAGTAACATAGAATGTCCTCATCAGGTCAAATAGCTTCTCGAACTTATAAAAAAGCATATATACTCAGTGCTGGAGGCAAAAAGTCTTTTTTCTTATAATGACAAAGTTTGGATGATGATGAAAGGCATCATCGACGGTAAAGTGGCGCTAGGGGGAAGCAAAGTATATTAACTTATGTAAACAGTAGACTCTAGGTACAAAGCGATACAATCAATGTGAATCATATGAAAAGGTCACCTAAATAAAATTTAGCACGTCGCTGCCGAACCACCACCAATATTTATGTGAAACAGTGCAACATTGGAACTTCTTTAGTCATTAATTATTTTTTTATTGTAGTTCCCGTTACTTAATCTTGTGTTAAATAGAATGTGGTACTGGCAGATACTAGTCAGAGATGCAACCGGTCAATAAACTCATGACCGGTACCGACCGGTCACCGGTGACCATGTGGCGACCGGATCGGCCGGTTGATCGACCATTTTTCTAAAAATTTTGACCGGTAAGCGATCGGTATTCGCGTTTCTCAAGAACTCTTTCGGGATAGTAATTGCTATAAGAACAGTGAGCCCTTTACATTTCTTCTCATTTGGAATAAAGAATTTGTCCCTCACCCTCACCGTATCACAGATAGTTATATAACAGACATTAGTCAATACATTCACGCACTACGCATAGACCGGAAAAACATATCACTTACTTTAGAAAAAAAATTTTCCATAATCTAACTTTTTTCAAAAAGTTACTTTATCGTACGGGACCAAAGGCAAAACGATGTCGAAAAATTTTTCTAAAGTACCCCGATCTAGAAGTTATCGTGTACCACATAATCAACCATGGAGAAGCGAATCTGCAATCAGTTTTGACCAAACAAGCTTTTAAAATTTTTCGATCCGGTGATATATATGAATATTTGAAACAGAGAATAATGAATGCAATTATTATCTTTCTTTGAGCAATACAAAGTGATACTAAATATGCTTTTTTCTGTCATATTTTTGTACTTATAAGCCAAGCCGACCGGTTCCGGTCGACCTGGTCAGTTGATAAGTCTCGACCGGAGCGGACCGAGAACGGACGCGCGGTCCGGTTGCATCTCTGATACTAGTTCCGCATTGAAATATTGCATAAAACACATTCAAAATATTGTCAGAGAAGAACCTTTTACTATATAATACACAGTCGGTAATGCTGCTAAAAGTATACTAACATACCTCTAGAAAAGTTATTTCAAGCATGGATTTTCTCCAACCAAAAGTTGTGAACTTTTGCGCTTTTAGACTTTTTCTAACCGAATGATCTGAAGTTACTATACATATTGGGGCACTCCCTTATCGTTAACTGGAAAAAGCGTCGAAGCTTGCCTTTTTTTACATCAAAAAGTCTGAAATACTTTTTATCCTTAATGCGTAAGGTAATTTTGGAATGAAAGCCTGTCTCATCTGCCTTTTGGCAAAACCTTTACATTTTTCAACCGCCGTGGTATGCTCAGCACAAAATGAAACAGTGATAAATTTATGTTTTATCTTCTAACTTTTTAATAGGTCACCAAAACTAAAGTGAGACAGAAAACAGCTGCACTTTCACATAACGATCCTTTAATAAAATAATAGTTCTAACCAGTTGTATATATTTGAAAGTGTCTTTGAGATAAAAATGCTAGTATTCATCAAAAGGTATATAGTCACCTACGATCATTTCTTTTTTATTTCTTTAGATATCAACTGAAGCCAATTGAAGCGTTTATATTCTGTCCAAAACTTGATATTTTTGTCGGATATTATGTAAAAGGCTCAAAAAGAATTTTCATAACGATTGAGAAAACTAAAATTTAATTCTTATCGTTTTTTTCTGTAATACCATGCTGGTTTTTATGAGTGAAAATACCATGTTTTGTTTAGAGATATAGTAAGATTGATGAAAGGAGCCAGTCGACTACCCGTAGCTACGAACGAATTTCTCTCAAATGATGATTATCACAACCTATGCATGAAATTTAATGGACGATAAATACCTAAGTGCTTTGTGTGTTCTCACAGTTAAGCGTGAGAGTCTTGAAAATTGACTGTTTTCCGAGAAAACATTTCGGCGTCATCACAGAACAAAGTAATGTGCACACCGTCATCCTCGGTATGAAGATTGGCTAACATATCCTCTCATGCTTACGAGCGAACCGATTTAGCTGTCAAATCGTTTTTTCAAGGAGACCTAGTGGATTATAGATTATCGACTATATTGATTACGAATATGACCATGGCAGTTGCCTGTAGGTCTCCAGAGAGTGTTTTTCTGGAAAACCGTTTTTTCAGAAACTCTGGAATATAACCAAAGCCTTTCTTAATAAGAAATAAGTATAGCCCGTACATTTCTGAGTAAAATGAGACGTCTCCCAGCTGTACACGATCTTTCTTTGCAAAGTTATAGAATTTACAAGAAAAACCCTATATTTATTTCTTCTTATTTCTGTAGGTTTGAGCTGATCCCTGGACATTAAATAACTTTGCGTAAATTCCATAACTTTGCAAAGAAAGGTCGTGTAGGGCTGGGAGATGTCTCATTTTACTCAGAAATGCGTGGGCTGTAATTATGCTTTATTAAGAAAGATTTGGGTTATTTTTTAGAGTTTGTGAAAAACTGATTTTCCAGAAAACCAGTCTCTGGAGACCTATAGGCAACCATGGTCATATTCGGAATCAGCATAGCCGATAACCTATAATCCACTAGGTCTCATTGAAAAAACGATTTGACAGCTAAATCGGTTCTCTCGTTAAACGAGATGCTATAGTTGACTGTGAAAAGTTGTTGATGAATTTGCAGTTCAAGATGAGAACAATATGATCATATTACATAGAGTCAGATTCTTTCCAGATTGCACTATTTATAATTTTCAGTAAAGGATCGGACACCTAGTATCTTTTCTCATAATAAATAGGAAATAGGATATCATACGAATCTGCCAGCTGCTTTTTCTATTGTTCTTTTTCTATTTCTCTTATTCTTTACTGCGCAGCACTTATCCAAATGACTACCTAAGTACCGTTTTTTATTTTTATCCGAAAATCGGAAGGAAAAACCACAAAATTTTAGTGAAAAAATACAAGATTTTAGCTAAAATACATGAAGTTTTAGAAGAGTTACTTAAAAACATAATGATAACTTGACATCTCCAGCCGAAAAACAAAATTTTCTAATTTAAAGGAGAAAATTTTTGGGCATAAGTCGAGTACGGGTCGGAAAATGGTATCCATGCAGATCTCTACTTATGAACGATACTTGCTTACTAATGAGCAAGTACTTTTATAAAATTGCATTTGGTAATTACTTGTTTGGTAAGTACCTGAAAGTACTTGCCAGATATATGATTTACTAGTTGTATCGTACCGAGTACTCGTGTGCTACCTAAGCCAGTGTCTGGCTAAATATATGACAAGAAGATAAAATACTTAAAGTATTTGATTTGCAAAAAATTCCAGGAACGTTGAACAAACAAAACGTACGAGAGTGCTTGAACAAATACTCGTATACAAATACATTCACTGGGAGAATGTTGCGTTGCCTTTATAAACAATTCGTCGCATCTCTCCACCTAACTCCAAAAATTTTTCTGACTACACCACTACACTATACTTGGAAAAATGTTTTTAATTCCTATGCTTTGCTAAAATCTCTATTCGTTCTTTTCTAAATTTTTAGAACAAGTGCTGCAGGAAGACGACGTATATGCCTTTATCTCCTGTTAATTATTACGGTGATTAGTGTTATTGGCATTATTATCAATTATGTAAGTTATTATTCTCTCAAATGATACACAGCTTTCTAAATGTAGAACAAGTATATTACTACTTTGCGAACGATGCTTTTTTTTGTATATATTATATATATATGTGTGTATTTCATTGAAATTTAAGAATTTCACTGTAACATATAGGAAACAAACTTCTATCTATGTTTAGAAATTTTCCGATTATCAAATATATGTAACAGAAATTTTAGAAAAAGCCGACGGAGTCAAATTAAAAGAATGTGAGTTTTTGTATTTTGTTTGGGAACATATCTATGAGCAACATTATTCTTCCGTATATTAAAGATGAAGAAGAAAAAGGAGATAATTTTTTTGTCAAACAAGAATTAAATGTGCCGATCCTAGTATGGTGGACACCTTTCACATTAGATGTGGGAACGTATACAAGCTGCGGTGGGAAATCGGAGCAATGTTTTCTATCCAATGTTAGAAAATATCGAGCAAACAAAGATTTTGAGGTATTTCATAAGCATAAGTTAAATAACGATCTTACTTAATCATTCTTCTTTCTAGGCATTTTTATTTTATGGTACAGATTTTCGACTTCATGATTTACCCCTACCACGTCTGCCACATGAACACTGGGGATTGCTGCACGAAGAATCACCAAAAAATAGTTATCTGTTTTCATATGAAGACATCATGAATTTATTTAATCATTCGGCCACATTTAAGAGAAACTCAGATCTACCATTAACTACTCAATGGTTATCGTCACTAGAGGACTTGACAGATATGAAATATTTTATGAGTGTCAAAGATAAAAATCGATTACAAGAAGAAGAAAATTTATCACCGGTTATTTATTTACAATCCGATTGTAATACACCATCTGATAGAGATATTTACATCGAACAATTGATGAAATATATCAAAATCGATTCTTACGGATCATGTTTGCATAATAGAGATTTACCAGATCAGTAAGTTTGAAATAACACTTTCTGAATAAGATTCTAACATTTGTATCTGTAGTTTAAGAGATCCTATTCAGGCAATGGAAGCTACAGAGATATTGAAATTGGTTGGTAAATACAAATTTGCTCTTGCTTTTGAAAATGCCATTTGTACGGATTATATAACAGAAAAATTTTGGCGACCACTTAAGACGGGAACAATTCCAGTCGTTTTTGGTTCGGATAAATTTAATGTAAGAGAAACTAAAACCTGTATGAAGACATCTACCATCAGTTGACGGCGGTTGCATAGCGTTTCTTCTCTGACGGCGGTAAAATTGATTATCCCCAATTTGTTCCAATAAAGAGCATTCGTTGCTCTAGAAAAACACTCCATTTTATCGAAAGACGGTGATGTGTACATTTGCTCAGAAATTATCAGCTGACTTGATCACAGCGTTCGGGCTTGTAACGCTAAAGTTCACCTGTGAAGCGTGAGTTGTAGGCTAGAGATGTGCGCGGGTACCATTTTCGTACTCGTACCCGACCCGTAATCGACTTATACTTAAAAATTTTCTCCGTTTTGTTTTCTAGCTAAAAAGTTTTGTTTTTCGGCTGAAGATGTCAAATTATCATTACATTCTCAAGTAATTCTTTTTTAAACCTTCATGTATGTTAGCTAAATTCCTGCATTTTTTCACTAAAATTTTGTGGGTTTTTCACTAGAACCTTCCGGTTTTAGGGTAAATTAAAAGAAATAGAACCCGTACCCGACAACTTCGTACCCTTATCCAACCTTCGGGTCGGATCGGATACGGGTCGGGGTTGCACATCTCTATTATAGGCTAATTTTCCAAAAAAACTAAAACTCCAATTTTCTTAGCAGAAAATCAATACGAATAATGAATTCGATTTTTATTTTCCCAGCCATACGTATCGGTCGGTAAACCAATCTTCTAGTATACGAGTTCTTAATATCAAAAACATATTTATAACAAAAATGAGTTTCGAAATTTGTGTGCAAAACATTCTAAAGGCAGTGACGGCGGTACTTCACCGACGCAGATATCTAGATGAAAATATATGTTGTCCAATGCCTCTCTTAAAATGTGTACATTTAGTGAGTTTCGAATTTCAAATCTGGTTTGATAAGTTTCAGTCAATAGTCACAGCTAGACTTAAAATTTGTTAAACCAAAATTAAAATCGATGTTTTATTTAATATTAGTTTTCTCTGTTTGATTTTGTACTATAATACATTTGTAGGATTTCTTACCAGATAATCATTCAGCTATATCCCTACTCGATTATGAAACGCCAGCTGATTTGGCTCACATTCTTCATCAATTAAATAAAAACGATACACTTTACGATAGTTATCGAGAATATAAATTTAAGAACATTCAAAATTCAACATTAGTGTATCAGACAATGATCAATCGTACATGGGGAATTCACAATGATCGAATCAAAGGTAATTTTATAAATAAATTTGAATGTTTGGTATGTGAACGCTTATATGAGAATAGAAGAAGGAAACAGCACGCTTTAACTGAATATGAATATCGGTCAACACTAGATCATTATGGTTGTCCACCGCCAACTACATTTGATGAAAATGGAAGTTTACTGCAAAATGCTGGCACTTGGTATCAAACTTATCAATTTACAAAATGTCAGATTGATGTATTTAATATGTTTATTCAAAACAAATATTACAATTTTAGTGAAAAAGAGCTCTTTCGAGAGTCATCAAAATTATTTCATCCGAACTTTAGAAGGGACGATTTATTTTGAAGTATATGGATTTCTTTTAATAGATGTTATTTAGTTAAAAAGACTTATGCATTAAACATTGTGATATTAAAAATAGTGAGAAAATGATGACTTTTCGTGTAAAGAAGGGAAAAAAAGTGAGCATCTTGGCTTTCTTTTGAAAAAAGTCATTAAAATGATATACTACATAACGTTTTTAATGTCTCGAGAATATCCGTATAACACTTTCAACGATCTCTGCTTTTTTAAATTACACTTACTCATCTGAACTATGTGACGCATTTGAATCAAGAACTATTGGTAATAAATTTTTTTCACGTGCAGCACCTTCTTGTGTTTTTTGACAAATGATTTGTTCATTTAATAATTGGCAATCGTCCCAGCCATTCACTTTCAATGAATCAATTAATTGTGTTACATTTGTTTTATCTTTTGGCTTTGGTATGCGCAGAGATTGAACACATTTATACGTGTCATTGACTGTCTGACATTGTTTCTGATGTGACCACGAAAAACTACTATCTGTTCGTTGTGATTGACTCGATTTACTCGAAATTGAGAAGGGCCATTGTTGTTGCGTTTGAGGTAATGATGATGGATATGGTTCTACATTTGACTGTTGTTGTTGTTGTTGTGGGAATTGAGAAGGAAAATATAATGATGGCATTACAAGCGGTAGTAAGAAGCTTTGTGGATTAGGAAACGATTGATGTTGAGAAAATGGTAACGATGGTAAGTTGAGTGGTTCTGATTCGGGTAACTGTTGTTGGGGCTGGTGTTGATTTGAATTAAATGGAAAGCCGGCAAAGGGTATATATTGGGGTATATTCTGAAGGTGAGACGGTTGATTTCCAGCAGAATGTTGTTCCTGAGGATGCGTTTCAGTTAAGGATGGTACCATCAATAGCTGCTCTGGTATGTGTTGTCGAGGGTTAATTGGAATTGGCACAGACCGGTTAGATTGTGGATCTCCAATACTTGCACATAGAGTAAGATGTAGAAAGGAGAAAGCAGCTAAAGCTGAGAACATCATGATTGATATAGTGACGATGAAAGTAATAAAGAATTATTCTGACTGAAATCTATATTGGAATGAGAGTGTATATATTTGTACACACATATATATGTCTCATGTTCAAGACCTCCTCATGCATCAATGAGCACAAATTAATGAAAACAGATAAAAGGTTCATGTCCTCTACTGTTTATTATTAATCTATAGATATAAAAATCGTTTTATAATACGAAGAGCTGTGATTATTTATATATCCATCACACTTTACAATATAAAGGTTCATCGAAGTTGAACCAAACAAAAGGAGGAACGTTTATCACAAGGCTTTTTATTTAGAGACATTATTTGATACTTCTAGAGCAGATGCTTTTCATACAATTTATAAGATAAGATATGTCTTTTAAAAAGGAATACTGTACGTCTCTAACAAGAAAACAATACATCTGAAATCTGGACTACACGCGAAAGTTCGGTCTAAATTGTTACTATTGACGTGAGTGTACGTTATAACGTACACTCACGTCAATAGTAACAATTTAGAACAATTACGGTACGGTTATAATTGTAGCGTTTCAGGGCTATCATATAATTCTCGGATGTCGTTAGTGAAATCTATAGAAAGATTTTTCTTGTAAAATGGACGTTGTAGTATTGTATTATGTATTATTTTCCTTCGACTTTTAACATTTTTTTGGAGGTTATATAAAAAATTAATAACAGATCATAATGACTATAGATCTGACAGATCATTATGATCTGATCTCATGATGTCTAATAGACATCGTGAGACTAGCGCTACCTTCACTGTCTCGGAATGTTACAGTAAATGTATGGCAATGAAATGCTGATAGCGTAATAGCCTTACGATACAAATATGATTTTTGCTGAAAATTTCTGCTTTTTAAAGAAAATGACTACAGTGACAAATATATTGGATGCATTTTCTAGCCAACCAAAAAAAAACAGAATGATCAGATAATTATACAATAATATATAATTTGTAAACTTTCTATCAACCATCATATCAGATTATCATTAGTCCAATATAATGGTTTGTTTACTGTTATTTACAGTATACTGTCCGTTAGCCGAACATTAATGATTGACTATACATACTTTTACTTCACAAGATACAAGTTATTCACCAGACAGTAAAAATTTATCAAGAATTAAATCGAATAAACATTCGAACTGAAAAACGATTGTCAAAAAATTTAATCAAAAATAGTTGATTTATACAGTAACAAGAAATGATAGAAATATCGATTTCTTCTAGTAAACTCATTCAAAAGATTGCTATGAGTATTTAATTTAGTCTCATCAATATCAATTACTGAAAATAAGTTGAATGATTGTCACAAAACAGTGGAAGAAATATAAAAATTTCGTAACAATACTACTATTATTATCCGAAACAAAATGAGATCACAACATTTTAAAGACGAGAATTATTTATATAATAACTATTTTTAAAATTTTATCTTTTGAGTAACCGTTTGTTTCTATTTCTAAAATCTTTTTGATCATTGATGAAGAAAAAAAAGTGTTTTAATTTCCTGTTCATCTATAGGTATATATTTATAGTTTAAAGTCAATAATATAAATTTCTTCTCTTTGTATTTTTTCTTATCTGTTCCACGTGCATCACATCACTATCATTCAGTTTTGATTCATCGTTGAATATTGTCTAGTTAAGTATCAGTTTGGGCACAGACATACTTTGTTTATTCACTGTCCTTTCTAAAGTTAAGAGTTGATAATTTATGTTAGTAGGACAAAACAGAAATTGCAGTATTACTACTGAATGCAGTTTCTTTCTAACAAGAACTATATTTGCAGTCATTTTGACTTTATCCTAATCAATTCTTACATTAAAATCTTTTAGTCTTACATCTTAACGGACAAAATTTGTTCTTATATAATCTTCATTTTATTTTTCATTTCAGACGCAGCATGTCATTTAACTTTAGGCTTAAGTCTGACAAACTCTTTTTCCATTTCATCACATATCTAAAACGATATGCATCATCGAGAGTTGAACCTTTTCCAATTCCTTTTCATACAGTGAAACCAGAACTTGCTCCTCAACAGTACATCAATAAAACAGTAACTTATGCTGAAGATATTACAGTAGAAAATCAACATGAAAAGTAAACAAGTTCACTTTTGAGACAAAAAAAAATATTATTATTATCTTAATTGTTTTTTCATTGAGTAGATTATTCAATCTTCTATTACCATTATGGAAGACGCCATATGACGAACAATTAAAAGTAAACAAGAGAAGGAGACAATGTATCAAACAACACTGTTCTCAACATATTGTTATTTTTATTTAGATTAAACAAACGATGGTAAATCAAACATTTGAGCAAATTGGGCGTGCTATATTATGGGATAGACGAATTGATACACGCGTATTGAAACATATTGAATTTCGAAAGGGGGATTTTTGTCATGTTGAATCAATTATCCCATCGGTAAGTTAAGGATTTACTCTATCATTCTTATAAGGCATTTTATCTGTTATTTTTTCAATTATAAAGGTATTCATCGAAAATTATCGTTCTAAAGATGATTTATCATGTGGTTTCTCTGTGGATGGACAAAAAACAATTGGATTTTATATTAATTCGAAAAATGGCAAATGTAAGTTAAAAACACTTCTGTAAAATTGCACGCTGGTTTTTATACACTGCAAACTGATGTATAAAATTTGTCTTTCTTTCAATTGTTATACTTTTAGCTAGTCGATCTGTTTGTGTCCCACCGCTGTATTTACCGAATATGAAAACAAAGCATAAAATTGTCACAAAAGTAAGCGTATATTTGAATAAAAGTATAAGAGAATAAAACTTCAGAAGATCATTTTCATACACTTTTCTTTAGCATTTAAATTTATTTATAAAACATCATTCTCTTGCAATTATGGAAAATGTTTCTGAAAATTATATGAAAAAAAATCAATATTGGCGTTCAGCTATCATTAAAACAAATGAAAAAAATGAACTAATGTTAATTATTATTGTACATCCACAGACGTTAAGTAAGGTGCAAAACAAGTTTAAAGTAAAAATATCTACGTGACTTTACATCGATGTTAACTTGTAGGATGAATTAAATACAATGAAACAAGATTTAGTGAATTATTTTATAAATGGTGATGGAAGAGAGTGTAATATAACATCATTGTATTTTCAGCCATGGTATGTAACTTCAATTAACAGATGAAAAAGTCATTTACATAGATATTTATTTACTATATAATTTAGTGCACATAGTCGATGTTTTGGTGATTATGAATTGTTATATGGTGATGAATATTTATTTGAGATATATAATGGAAAAAAATTTCGTATATCAGTTGAATCACCTTTAGTCGGTAATAAACAAGCGATGGAGAGTGTTTATGAGTTGGTTATGAAACATGCACAAATTGACAAAGATACAATTGTGCTTGATATTGGTGGAAGTGGAATTGGTAAAAACAATAATAACAACATCCTTTCATATATCGTAACATTGACATCATTCTCTTTTGTTCAGGTGTTTATTCTGTCTTAAGTTCACCATTAGCAAAACGCGTGTATAGTATAGAACCATTACAATCAGCCATTGCCGATGGTCAATATAATGCTAAATTAAATAATTGTGAAGATAATATCCAATGGATGTATGGATTTGATGAGGCGCAATTACATCGTGTAATACAAAAAGTGGGCGAGATGAATGGAACCGATACAAAAATTGTAGCCATTGTTAATCCATCAAGATTTGATTTATGTAGGTTCTACTCATCATTTGTACAAAAAAAAGAATTATAAATTATTATTATTTTTGTTCTTTTTCTAGCAAGTAAAGCAACAGCTGCACTTCGTAGTGTAGGAAATGTTCAAAAGTTAATCTATGTATCAGCTAAAGTGGATCAACATGCGATGTATCATTTTTATGAGTAAGTTGAAGTTCAAATTCGAATGAATAATAGTCCTAATTAATAATGTTTATATTTCTATAGATTATCAGCTGGAGATAAATCAAAAAAAACAGTTCTAAATAATGCATTTGTTCTAACCAAAGTCTATCCTGTTGACGCATTTCCACATACAATTAATTCCGAAGTTGTAATCATTTTTGATCGTGTAAATTAGTCATTGATTTTCTTTTATATTAAAGTCTAAATCAAAAAATATATATTTTTTGTTTTCTTTGTTGACTCTTATAATTTGTACGATAATTATTCGTCATAAAGAACTAGTCTTTTTACAACTCGTACTGTCATTCACAATTTTGTAGTAGAAGGACTACTTTTGCCAATATATTTCAAGGTTACATACTCACTACTCAATACTTTTAGAAGATATACTTTGCTGCTTAAACTTTCTGTTAGTTACGTGTCAAATGTATATCTGCTATGAAGCACAATGAAAATATAAATAAAAAAAACTATCCTATTCTATTTAATAATCATTTTGTTTATCTTGTTTCGTTGCATCTAAATAATCGTCAATTAAATCTTCTATAATGTCACCCATATCCGTGTCAAAAACATATTTTTTTGTTTGTCTTCCTACATGTACTTCGAGAAGAAATGAAATGGCATTTGAACTATGATTTATATTGAAATAAACATATTTAGCCACATACTCCTATGAAATATGATAAAAGTAAAGAGTAATAAGTGAAAATTTATCTATTTTCAATAGAAAATAATACCTTTGTCACTGCATTCATTATACTAATACCATTTTGATTTATACAAATAAATATATCTTCAGGAAAATCAAATTCTGATTTATTCTTAAATATTAGAAATACGATTACACTGTGTTAAACTCTTATTTATGAAATAACTCACTTTAATTTCATAAAACTTTGTTCCATATATTGGCCATGTTGATACGTGTTTTAAAAACTTTATTTTCGCTTCTTCATCAGTAAGATCTCGAATTTGATTTGATGCATTATAAATTTTCTAAAATAATAGTGACTATGACATTTTAGGAAGTTGAATAATCCCAATGACGAAAATTCACTTACTTTGGCCCATTCAGATTGTGGAGCTGATTTAATTAGAAAATTTGGTACAAAATATGCAAGATTGTTTCTAAAACAAAAATTGAGATTAGATATTTTTCTCACATTAACTATAAAATTCATTTTTTTTAGTAAAATTATTACACTTACTCTGGTGTACCTTTGGCTTTTTCAGCTTTGCCTAATAGTGCAGCCAAATTGACAGCCTCATCCATAGTACATTTGTGTAAACCGAGAATATATTTTTCTTTTTCCTTAAAATAGCAAGAAAAGAATATTAACGTATATTTTTCACATAAAAGAGAGTTATTTGTACCTGATAAAAATGGACAATAGAGTCAGCTTGACGATCTTCATTTGGTACAATGTTGATCCATAATTTTCTTTTAAAATGTATTTTATAGTCAAGGTTTTCTATGTCAAAAAAGAATAGTCTAAATTCAATTGCTATAACATGGTGTTTTTCTTTTGACTTACTTTTATCATGTCCACAAAATTCTGTTAGAAAGTCGAAAAAATATGAATCATTTGGAATGTTTACCACTACAAAATTGTCAGAGTACAGATTCGATATGTACAAAATCGATTATTTGATACATACTTTTCTTTCCGAATTCTAAAAATAAACTTAGACCATTTGACGAGTGTATTTTTAATTCTTTACATATATTTGACACAAGTTCATCAGCTTTTGTCGTTGATTCGACAATAAAATCTTGCTCACGGCCATTTGGAAAGTGGATATATTGACGAATTTTAGTACAATTTATCTGAGCTTTACATTCAATAATATGTGGTGGACATATGCGTTCTCCTTGTCTAATATAGGAATAAAAATATCAGGCATCATACAGAATGGTCCATAAAAAACTTACCTCTTTTGTAATGGTCTTTCTATAGCTTTAGAATTCAACTTTTGATCCAATTCTTTTTGCGATAGAAAGTTGAAAAACAGCTGCTCAGTAGAACTGTTTATATTTTTGAAAAGATTCTGTAGTAAGCAGCGACTAAAAACGATTTATTAAATATGAAATCTGTCCTAGAACAAAATGTTCTTTGCTGTTTTTCAACTTTTCTATAAAAATTCAATAATTCAACGACTAAATACTACTTTGACTGTAAATTTTCAGAATATACTTATCAGTATTCACAGCTTAAGTAAACATATAAATCATTTGGAATTATTGATACTCTTATAGAAATGTTCATACAACAACAGTATACCATATTTTGCATAAAGAGGTGTGTGGTATGAATTTCGCTATTTTTACCACTTGAATTAGCATTAATCACAATCGATTATATTCCGTAGATAGAGCTTTTAAATGGCTACAAAAATATGCCTAAATGATTGATAAAGTTTGCTTTCTTAATAAGAAATAAAGTAAAGTATAATGAAGACGCATATACCATCAATTAGCATTAAGCTTAGAGAATCGTGTAAAAATAAAAAAGATCTCTAAAAAATAACCAAGAAATTATGCGGAATTCGTTTTTTTCATTAACAAAATGCTAGGAACTCGAAAACCACGACAAACTTCAAGCCAACAGCGATCGTCTTACAGCGCCTTTTTTTGCTTCTAGGTGAAGATATGCCGTTCCAGCATAGACTTCATATTTAATAAATCTTTTTTAGTCTCTGCTTACTACAGAATCTTTTCAAAAATATAAACAGTTCTACTGAGCAACTATTTTTCAGCTCTTTCTATCGCAAAAAGAATTGAATAAAAAATTGAATTCTAAAGCTTTAGAAAGATCATTACAAAAGGGATAAGTTTTTTAAGGATCATCGTGTATAATCTAATTAATTTTTCTTACTTCAGAATTTTTTGTATTCGATTATAACATTCTAATGCTGCTAGATTCGAACTTGATCTTAAAAATAGTTGTACATGTTGTAATAAGACTTTGTCTGGAACTAGACAACCTGTTAATAACCATAATAATTCCCATATTCGAGTTTCAATCTTAATATCAGGACAATATGTCAACTGTTTTATTAGTTGACAATATAATTCTTCTTTTAACATTTTCTATAAAATATAGAAAATATTTAGTGAAATATATTGACTTATTGAACTTCCCTCAGATCTTCGATATATACAACATGTGATGGAAACTGTTCATTTGCCCTACTTTTAGTGATAAGTAATACTACATACAAAAGTCTTTATACGTACCGCTTTTTCAAATGCTACATCAAATATACTATCAATATCACTTTGTTGTATATTTTTTCTATCTTGTGGTGACATTCTTGCATACTGTTGTACTGCTTGAAACATTTGCACCGCTTTTTCTTGTAGCTCTGGCTTTTTCTCAAGATTTCGAAGTAGACCTTCTTTTATATCATCTCTTTCATATTGCCAAACAGTCATCTTTGTCGATCTATAGAAATATAAAAAATTATTATCTATTAAATCTCTATTTAATGGATTAGATATATACTGAAAGAATTTTTCCGCATAATCTTTTAATGTATGAATATTATAATGTTGCTGTTGTTCAATGTCATTGCTAATATTATGAGCGCGTTTTATTATACGTAAAACTAATCCTCGCTAGATGAAAAAAAAGAGGAAATTTTATTTATCGAAAAATATAAAAATACGTACAAGAACTTTTGTTTCTGGTTTATCTATACACGGAATGATATACACAATATCCGCTGGAAATTCACCTTCACGATTTGTACGATCATTGACACCAGTGAGAAAACCTGATTCAAAATTCTTTCTGCTTTCACCATTCAACAGTACAATATCACCACGTAATAATTCTAATTTTCCAGCACCACGTTCTAATAAAAAGTAAAAATAGACCAATTTTTATCTATAAAGATAAATAAAATGAAATATGACCAACATACTCGCTGGTTTATAATCTTTTTGAGCAATGGCCATTCGTGATCTATCTTTCAAATTTGTATGAATTAATTTTAATAATGTTTCTAAATCAGCTCCCATTGGTAATGCAAATGTAAAATCACCATAGACAGTTTCCAATGTATAATGATAATAGTTTAATACATGATCACTGTAAGAGAACAATTATTTAAAATAATCTACCCTTAGATATTGTACACATATGAGCTCAACCACTTTTTTGCGTTTTTCGATTCCCCTCATCACCATGTCCTCTTCTCTTAGTTCTCCAAATGTAAAAGAAAAGTATCTGTCACTAGATTAAAAGATAAAGTTCGTTCTCTATCTTAGCAGTTGGCAAGTATCTGAAAGTACTTCTCACGTACTTGATTTACTTGTTGTATCTCACACAGTAACCACGTGTTATGTGAGCAAGTGTTTATAACATATATATATAAGTGATGATGAACATTGTATGATTGTCATTGTTTTCTTAGACGTACTATAAAGGCATCAAAAAATTTTCTTTGCTTCATATTTATATAACAGAGAATACACAAGTCAAAATCCAGGGAAAAACTTATTTTTTCATACGTTGTCTTGTCAGTCTTGTTTAAATAATGCTCCTAAATTTCAAAATACTATTCTTTAAAATAGACGATATTTCTTTTTCATTAATATCTACTTCATCATAATTTCGTTCGAATAATCATAAAATTTATCGTCTTCAATATCGCTATTAGTTTTATGAACAAGAAATTTGTCTTAACTTCTTGTTAAGAAGAAGTCTCATGTTGGAACCACATGTAAACAACTACGATTAGTCAAGTTTTCATTAGTTTAGTGCTACCTAGAGCAACGATTTCGTTCAATGTTGCCGGTGATGGAAAGCTAATCTTATCTGTTGCGAACTTTCCTCCTTCTCATTTTTAACTTCGCCGTCATTTGTGTACAAACTCTTAATAGATACTAAAAAACTTACTGATCTTTTCTTATCGCTGTTATTTCTGGATAACGTATTTCACCTACACTGATTTGTGTCTCTTTAGAAAAAAAATGAATCATATCTTTTCCAATCGATAAACCAGCGGTTTGTACTTCATCAATCAACGGTCCAGATAATGTTGATATTTCAAATACACGTGAAAATGTAATAGGCCATTTTCGTTGAGCATAGGTGATAAGTTCTTTTTTTATTTCACGACGAATTTGTTCACGAGATTTGAATTTTTGTTTTAAACGCTGTTAGTGAATAAAAATTGATAAATAACATTTTATGTTATCCTTTCAAAAATTGTATAGCATCGCCGCCAAGCTACGTTGATTGAGTATTTTACCTTAACGCTTCGTTTGAACTAAAAAAAAAGAATCAAGATAATTATGTATTTTAATTACGCTAAAGAGTATTAAATGATTGACTGACTTCTCCATCTTTTTGAATCGCTTTTTGTACAATAATATCAATTTGTTTTTCTGTTAATACTAGTTGTATTTTCTGATTACTATCAGATAATACAAATGGCGGTGGTGTTATATCTCGAACGATTTGTTTCATTTTATCTGGCTCTATATCTTTTCCATGTATTATATAATAATGTTGCACAATTAAGAGGCTAAATTCTCCTTCATCTGACACAGGTTCATAGGTATAAATATTTGCTCGAATTCCTTTAGATGCAAAAAATACTAATAAGAAACAATTTGTGCAGTATTTTAATTCATCTTAGTACCATTAATTATTTGCTCATAAATATAATCAATAGCTACTGGATCATCATCGAGATTTTCCCATGGAGCAAATATTTGTTTACAAAATACATACTGTATATCCACTGGTTTTTCAACGTCACCTTTTGTTTCTATTTGGTTCATTTCTATTCGTGATAATACATCAAATACATGATCATTGTTAAAACCAAGTGAATAATTCTTAAAAATACACAAATTTAGTGAATGGTAGATGCTCTTCCTATAATAAAGATTCAATACCGCTGTTTTATATTGCGCATATAACGACCATCCGAATGTTGCTTTGATGCTTAATTGTCTTGCTAATTCTGTACAAGCTTCCTCAGCTGTTGTGGCTGGATCAGAATAAACATATTTTTGCATCGTACCATGTATTATTCGTGCTTTTATTTTCATGGGTTGAGCTTTTCGTAAACCCTGAATAATCGCCATATGTATCATGTTGTTTACAGTTAAACAAATCAAGCTACCTCGATCTCTTCCATACTTAACGGTTCATTTCTTGAACCATTACGATATGTACGTTTCAAGGCAAATTCACAAAATTCAGCTATATTTGAAGGACCATTCAGAACAAAATTACGTAAAAAAGGTACTAACTAAAAGATATAAAATAAAGGAAAAGAATAAACTCATAAGGAGGCTCACCAAGCATCACGTTCACTTTCCTTGAAACACATTTGATTATAGATGGTTTTTGATGCTGATCATGAATCCGGATATCGTTCGTTCTCTTAAGACTTTTCACAACCTCTCTCCAACTTCGAATCTCTGGAAATCCGTCATATATTTTCATCTAAATAAATTTTAATAGTATTAGATTATTGTATTATTGTTATTATTGTTGTAGAACAGATCGAGTTACCTATTCTGAAAAGTTCTGAGAGCTAACAAGCAAGTTTTCGGTGAGTTACAAAAATTTCAGCTTTTTATCCAATCAAAATAAGGATGATTGAGGGTTTTTTCCTGATAAAAATTTATCACTGGGTGAAAACTTTCTTATTAGTTCTCAAAATTTTCAGAATAGATAACTTGACCTGCTAATACTACTGATACTATCAGAATTTATTTAGATGAAAATATATGATGCGTTCCACCCTCACCCCCCCTAGAGATTCGGAAGTTGGAGAGAGGTTCTGAAAAGCCTTCGGGCCCCCGTCTCAGAAATTATCTCGGCCACCGTACATCCGATCTTGACGAAACTTTCCATAAATGTTAGGCACAAAGAGTTATAGGAATAAAAACTTCTTTGTCTCCAAATCTTACCGTTTAGAAGTTTTCCAGAGATCAAGGTCTAAAAAGGGTCCTGAAGTAACGGGTGTTACAGAAAGAATGGAGTAGCTTTTATTTTCAGTTTTTCTCCTCCCTTTGAACTCGCAGAGCTCATCTTGTTAACAAAAGATTCCCCATTCATTTCTCTACAAAATGGTGTATAGAAGATGATCCTAAGGTTTGAGACGCTGTCTTAATTGAACAAATATCGAAATGTCCGAAAAACTTAAAAAATTAAAATTTTTTCCGACGATAATTTCGAAGCTGAACTCCATTTTGAAAGTGATTGGAAGAAGAGAGCACATCATTTCTTTAGGACGTTTAGATATCCTCTTTCAGATGGCGCAAGACTCATTTCCTTCCCATCGGTTTGACGTGGTAAAAATGACTAGTTAATAACTGGCAGCCATTACTGAACAAAATGCACTAGTTTCAACATCTACTTCATTCAAAAAAGTTACATCAAGCGTTTTGCACGTGAGTCTAGCAGACAAAACATTTGTCTTTAAAATGACGCAAGAATGAGCCTGATTGGTTCCGTTTTGTCTGAGTAATGTTCATTTTACAAATAGTCCCAAAGTGCAGGTTGAAAAAGCTGAAAAAACGGTCATAGGGCTTTTGCAAAAATCATTACTGAAAACACAGAAATAACGATAGAAAATCCGCGTTACAGATGATCGGTACAGAATTTTAAGGGCTACATTTTCGACTACTTGCTCTAGACACAACGCATACGTTCAACTTCATACTGACGAAATACACTTTTCTGTGTTAAATTTTTTAAGTTTTTCGGACATTTCGATGTTTGTTCAATTAAGACAGCGTCTCAAACCTTAGGATCATCTTCTATACACCATTTTGTAGAGAAATGAATGGGGAATCTTTTGTTAACAAGATGAGCTCTGCGAGTTCAAAGGGAGGAGAAAAACTGAAAATAAAAACTACTCCATTCTTTTTGTAACATCCGTTATTTCCCGAGATTTTTTAATGTACTTCAAGCTAAAGAGTTCGGGTTTGTTTTATTTTAAGCTAAACACCTAATTACACGAACTAATCGGCGCCGATTTTTCAATTAAGCCTTTGTTCCGGCTACCTTTCCATGTGTTTATCTCAAAATTGATTTTTTGACCGAGAAGCATCATTTCTGAGAGGGAGAGGGAAGGGCTCTTAAGAGAACGAATGATATCTGGATTGATCATCAGCATCAAAAACTACCTATAATCAAATATGTATCAAGGAAAAAGCGACGTGACACCTCATGGGCCTCCTTGTCAATGAAATCTTACATTTGAACTTGCTGGAAATGTACTTAGACATAAAGTTAGTAAAAACCATCCGCGCATATATGAATGTTGCTGTTGTTCCATTTTGTCCAAATTTTTACTTTTCTTATCTCGTTTTACTGGATGATTAGTAAGTTGTTTACACAGCTGACAGAATATTTCATCTCTAAACAAGATATTTGGAAGATATTTCAGTTTTTGGTCTAATTTTTATTCTTACCTCAATTGTGGACGAATTATACCTAGTACTGATATCATTTGAACTTTTTCTAATGATGTTAAATAACGATCTTCACGAAATGGATTATCTTTCTTGAGACGTTCTTCAAAATAAACCGATTTTTTTTTCATTGCTCGTATACGATCGATAGCTTTTGCACGAATATTACGCTTTTTTTTCTTGAAAAATTAGTTGAACATAACAAACATGAAACAAAATTGAGAAATTTTCAGCCTTAGAGTTACCCTTTCGTGCGGATCATCTTCTTCTTCAAGTTTTATTTCGAGTTGATGAGCAATAAGTGGATACAGTACTGATATCAATATTTCATATTGAGACTAAAGAAAATGTAAAGGATCGATATATCGAGTCTCTGTTTACTGCTGCATTTTGAACTTACATCACGTCTTTTTAGTTCTTTATCATCATTTGTCGTCGATTTTGGGGGTTCCACATCATCTTTATCGCCCATAAATCTCATAATCACTTCAAAAATAGCTTCAGCCGCCTAAAAGTAATCAGTCCTTATTTTTTCTTTTCAAACGTCATAAATTATTATTACCTGTTGGTCTACGGGTGAATTTAAATTCAATAGTGATTTGGCTATTTCTTTATCTGAAAAACTTGCAGTATTTCCATGTTGAAAATATTTGACTGTAAATTTTTCAAAACCATATCGTTTAGCATCACTTTCAAATGGATCTGTTTCACGTTTTAATAATCTTTCTTCCTACAAAACAAGAGATCATTGTTGTTGTTTTTTTCGAAATTTCGTTTTTAAGATATATATTATCAGTGACTAACTTTTGTTGAAAACTCGACATCATCATTATCATCAACTCGATTTCTCCCTGCTCGTTTTTCTCTCACGTTTGCAATATCTTGTCGTTCTTGTTCACGAATTTCTTCTTCCAAATTTGCTAAAAGTTCCTAATTTGGTCAAGACAAGTATGATTACTTAGGGAATGTTAGATATTCTCTTTCATCATACTTGATATTTTTCTTCTGTCGCTTGTTTCGCTTTCTCCGGGCCTAATTCAAGTGTTAAACGTTGCTCTTCTTTATAGCGAAAAGTTTCTAATTGTTCCATTTCTAAAGCCTAATTACACGTACTACAAGTAGTAGCAGATATTAATCTATCTTTGGTGACTTACTCTAATTTGTTGTCGTCGAACATTTCTCCAAGCAAGATATTGTAAACCTTTTTCTTGTAGAATTTGAATTGCTTGCGGACGAAACTTTACATGACGTCGAGCTAGAGTACCTTTGCATAATGTCTACACATAATGAAACACATGTATATATAAAAATCATTATTTTTTTCATAACGCTAATCACATACTTGAATTTTTGGTAATGTTTCATGGTATAGTTTCATTTTTACATCGATATGCTGCATGTTATATACCGCTTGTAAACGTTGAAAACCATGTCGCATCTTGGTAAAGATATCAACTAATATGTCAATGAGCTGATAAGTGCAATACACCTTACTTCACAATAGACTCTTCTATCATCGTAACATGTCCACGTTTGTTGTAACCAGTTTGCTAATTTTTTTGCTCGCTCGATCCATCGCTCAGCATAATAGCGACGAACGGCTTTTTGTAGTGCTAAGATACGATCAGCAATTATTTTTTGTCGCGCTTGCTCTAACATTATGTCGTATTCATCCTATCAATACCAATAGCAGTATCAACTCACATGTAATTATTTCGTTTAAAATGTATTTACTTTTAAAAACATTTTTGTTCTTCCAATTTGATAATCCTGACCAGTGAGAACTATTTCACATATTTTTGCCGCTATCGCACGTGGATCACTTTGATTACCTCTTGCTTCTGATCTTTTATGCATTTTCTCAATCGACGATGCAATAGCAGCATAACGATGAACAAATTCATTGAAATTATGGCGAATTGGATAACCGAGTTTACGAATGTTGATTGTGTCCATCATTCCACTATAACGTAACTGTTGGACAACACGTTCACGATCAAAATTCTATTACAACACAAATAAAAATGGCTTGACGGTACTAGATTAGACATTGCTTGATATTTTTGCTTACATGTACAGCTTTAACTTCATTAGGTTTGATACATCGGATAAAAAGTGGTTCACATTTACGCAATGCTATTAATAAAGATTCTAATGATTGTCGGAATTGTGCTGCAAGTGATGATTTCCATTTTTTATCATCCTATCGTTCAAAATAGATGTGTAAAGTAATGGTGCATACCAGTGTGACAAAACATACAAAATTTAATGATTCAATTGGAAATATTGTCTTTATTAAACGATTTTCACTATTAGATAGAATAAGTTTCAAATCATTACTAAATGTATCACGATTTTTTTCGAGAAAGTCTAAAATTAGAAATTTAAACTTAATTCAATAACTTATATCGTACTATTAATGAAGTGAAAACGTACTGGTACAATCGTAGAGAACAGGTTCAGCAAAATGTTTTACACCAAACATCAATTGTTTTCCACCCTGTTTCGCCGATGAAATATAATGTTTATTTTTTCCATGATGTTGAGTTAATTTATTATATAACGTTTCGTCGGTACCCTGTGAATGAATAATCAGGGAGACTACTGAATTATATAAAACTTGTCATAATAACTTCTTATGAAAAAATTTCAGATTCTTATTGTGTGCTAAAAATAATCTCAATATTTGAACCAAAATTAATATAAATTAAAGATTACTGTGCAAATATACACAAAATGTAAATCAATAATAGATATTTCAGCAATTATTCTTTGAGTATAGCGCTAGAGAATGTATTTGATGCAAGTACTTGCTTACTTGCTAAGTACTCGGTAAGTACATTTGGTAAAATTGGCAAGTGTCTTCAAAATTTCTCATTAGTCATGTACTTTCAGAAGTACTTCGCAATGATAAAAATACTTGCTTTTATTGCTAGGAAGTACTTTGTGAAAGTCCTTGACAAGTAAGGACTTTTCTATCACCCTAAACCGAAAAAAGTGTATTTAAAAACCAAAAGGGTTTTTTTATTTGACCAGAAAACTAAAAAGGGTTTTTTTAGAAAGAGTCCAAGGGTTTTCTAACTTTGGTAAAAATCAGAAGGCTTTTTTCCTAAACGCATATGGTTTAGGAAAACATCGTTTTTGGTTTTTCAAGTAGCGAAGGATTTTCCAGTTTGAGCAAAAACTCAAAAGGGTTTTTAAAAAGAGTTAGCTGAACACTTTATATTTCGAAATTCAACAAACAATTTATCTGAACATCGTTGAAGTCTTATGTGAAAAAGAAAAACTTTTGATACAAGAATTTCTCAAAATAAAGTGTTTCTTAAGGTAATTGATATACTGATTTCATTATGTTTTACTCGATTTTCCCTTCGAGAACATAATACTTTAATTCTGATTTAGAAAAGTTAAAAAGCAGATATAAATCGCAAAAAGTTCGAATATAAAAGTAGTCTTCACACCACTTTCAGCAATCATTACCGCAAAATCGACTTTTTATATGTACGTTTTCAAGGCTCGACTTAATGTTTTTCGTGATCAGAATCCTTCAAAACGTTGGGCAGCAAAAGGGCGTCTTATTCAAATGAGGAATAAAAAAGTGAAGTTTTTTCCTATGTATTTTTGCATTGCCTAAATTCGAGATGGCGCCGATCATGATTTTTCGCGCCCATACAAATTACATGAGAAAATTTCACTTTTTATTCCTCATTTGAATAAGACGCTGCCCAACGTTTTGAAGGATTTTGATCACGAAAAACATTAAGTCGAGCCTTGAAAACCTCCGTATAAAAAGTCGATTTTGCGGTAATGTTTTGTCTTCCACGCGGCTTACATGTGGAGATCATGAAGCGCCGAAGTAAACTGCAGTTCTTGCATCATCATTTCATGTAACATTACGAGTTGTACCCAGAGCACGAAATGAGCAAACGACATTGATTGGAAGAATCGAGTGAATCGAATTCTTTTGTATTCTCTCAAGGCAATGTTGTGTCGGTGTTTTTGCCTTCATCACATTTCGGTTTCAACACCGAGAGCAAAATGGATTAGTATATGTTGAGGTGCTGCGATCCTACCTTAACTGTTTGACACAAGGTCAAGAACAATTCACTTCTTATTAGTTTGGCCTCGAAGCAGAAGAATAGATTACTTTTTACATTTTTTCGGCATGTTACAGGTCCAGATGTGATCGTCGTTAGCTGAAACATCCAATCTACTGCTCAATCAATACATTATGGTGGTAGGTCGTCAATCTTTCGTTTAGTTTCTAGAACAGGTGATGAGATGCCTTCAGAAATAAAACCATCACCTAAGTATTGTTGTGACCATAAAATGATCACTCCTTTGATATGCAGTTAAGAACATCAAAGTTTTCCCGACAAAATGTTGGCAAAAGAACGGGACCAAAAAGCGGCCAATAGTAGGAAAAGTAAACACACCCGAAAAATCACACTGCAACGCATGACTTTACCCGGAAACTTTTTGACAACTTGTTAACTTTGTCTAATTACTGTTTGTCTAATTGTAATAAAACTTACGACCCCAGCTCATGAGTTGGCAACGCTCAAATTATGTATAACAGTATCCAACGATCCACCTGATTAAGATCTGGACTGCCTGAAGGCCAAAGATGTTCGAGCAAAAAATTGGAAAAACAATCTTCATATTATAGCTGCGCCTTTTTATCCTAATGTGGAAATAAAGCATCTTGTTGATAGGTGAATTTACTGCCTCATATGTTTTTACCATCTCCCAATGTCACAGGGAAAGTTTTTTAGACATATCAATTACTGTTTAGACTACAGTTTTCGATTATCAACGGTCATGTTATACTGGGCTCACGTCCGCCTAAGCAAATTAGAGCAAGTTTTCTTAGAACCATTCTTGGATGACTTCTGGAGGTTTCGCATCAATGATACCAGTTGTGTAGTTGATGATATTCAAGAAAAAAATGTTCCTCTTGCAACTGTACCACGTAAATGTTTGTGAATTTCACTTTCACTACAACCTTCTTTGTGCAAATCGCAATATGAGTTCTCGGATGCTTTTACTTTTCATTATACATTATTTTTCAAGACGATACATATAGATATAAGACCAATACCAAGTTTTGTAGAGCATGAAATGCCCTAGCCTTCGGTATATAAAGAAAATTTCTTATGATTTTGATTATGAATCAGAGAAAAACGCACCAAGATTTAGTGTAATACTCAAGATTTAGCAATACTCTCATTGCACTGTTTGTTTTCTTTCAGGATGACGATGATACCGCAAGTCTCATATGTCTCGGTGGGTCAGAGCCACCTCGCTCTGATAATGTGGATCCTAGTAAAGCTTATCATAACGCTCCTCTCACAACATTTGTCAACGCTGTGATGCCTATCGTTCGCAAAAAGCTGGCCGATAATGTTGTTAGAAACGCGAAGAAGGCGTATGCCGACACTCCCGATAATCCGTCCGATTCCCTTACAAAAGGTGAATCTGCAGCCATTCGTTTGTACACTAAAGAAGGGAAGAATTCACGAAGTGTGTACCATATGCTGAACAAAGCTCTTGATAGAAATACCGAGGCTGAGCTCAAACCATGGTATCTGTATTTAAGGCTTATTTGCACTGGCCTCAAGAAGATACCTTCGTGGAAGGACTCAGTGTACCGTGGTGTATCCGAAGATTTGAGAGACCAGTATGGTAAAACAGCCGAAAGTGGTAAGATGTACACATGGTATCGAATTACATCGTGCACGAAACGTTTAGAGTCAGCTGAAAAGTTCCTTAATAAAAATACTAAAAGGGATTCATATTGTACTTTGTTTCACATACGAGGTTACTCGGGTGTTGCAATATCCGGGCATTCTGATTATCAGAACGAAAACGAGGTTACATTTTTGCCTGGTACAAAATTTGTTTTCGAAAGCTCTATTGTGATGTCAAATATGCTCTTGGTTGAGCTAAGGGAGGAGAACTATGCCCACGTATCAGCTCGAACTTGGGTGCAATCCGCAAAGGCAAGCTCTCTTGAAAAACGACTCAAAGCCCAAGAGATTCAAAGTCGCGCTCAAACTGCTCAAATAAAGAGTAAAAATGCCACCATTGAAACACTCACTAAACTTGTGCAAACAACAACTGCGGAAAAAGATGCCGAATTGAAGAGAAAAACTGCTGAACTCATTAGCAAAGACGCTAAAATTGAAACGCTGACGAAACAGGTGCAAAAACCACTGCCACTATCAGTGCCATCACCTCGGCCAGCAGTACACCACTGCTCGCCATCACCAGGACCACCAAACCAACCGCACCACCATCGATATGACGACTTCTCGCCGCCGCGATCACCGCGACGTCGACATGACGATCGATATGACTATGACAATCGCTATGACGATCGATATGATGATCGATATGACTATGACAATCGATATGACGACTTCTCGCCGCGGCGACCACCACGACGTCGATAAGACGATCGATATGACTATGACAATCGCTATGACGATCGATATGATGATCGATATGACTATGACAATCGATATGACGACTTCTCGCCGCGGCGACCACCACGACGTCGATATGACGACTTCTTGCCGCCGCGACGTCGATACGACGATTGATATGTCGACTTCTCGGAGCCGTCACCACCGCATGGATACAACTACTACTAGTCATCACCACAACGCCGATATCACACAGAACGCTTTTTTGCAACCGAAAA